TCCCTAGACTTACAAGAACTGCAGAGAGAGGGTTTAACATGGACCTTTCTAACGAAGGCCAGAGGCAAGGCCAGAGGTCTCGAACAGACATATCCTCACGCCTGCCTTAACCGAGAGGCGGGGCCGAGCCGTCACTCAAACCTATGGAGGCAGGCCTGAGACACTTCCGCGTTGAGCGGCGCTCCGTCCCCCACCTTAACAGGAAGTCAGGGCTGAGTCGTCACTCAATGCCGCCCCGCCCTACCCAAGCAGGCCTGAGACACTTTCGTGTTGAACGCCCCACATCCCTGCCTCAACCGGAAGGCGGAGCCTGGCCGTCACTCAATACGGCTCCGCCTACCAAGCCGGACCACGTTTCACGTGGGCCCTTCCAGGGAGGCCCGCCTACCCGCGCGGATCCGTGACGTCATCGCGCCGACGCGAGGGTCCGCTGGGCCCCGCCTACTCTATTTAAATGGCTGGAGTCATCATGGCTGCGCGCACCGGGCCTTTAGACCTAAGGGTCCCCGAGTCCGGGCAAGGGCCCAGACTGTCTGGTCCGGAGCCCTGTATACTGCGTTTCAGTCCCTGTATTCTGCGTTTCAGTCACTTATAAGTGCGCTAACCCTGAACGACCCTCTGGAACGGAGCACCGGAAGTGCTTGGTCCCCTTTGCGGCTGCTTACCGGAAGTGGTTCTTCCCCTACCCCCTAGAGGCGGTCCAGCTGTCCCAGGGGGCGGGCCCCAGGGACTAGGGGCTGTGTCCAGGGTTGGGGGTGCCACGTCGCGTTTCGGGCCCATCAGTGCTTTTTACGGGGCTTTATTGGGAAGGTCGGGCTGCTTGCGGGGGGAAGTGGCCACTTTCTCCATTATTGCTTTTTAGGAGGCGTTATTGGGAAGGCCGGGCTGCGGCTGCGGGGAGCGGCCACTTTCTCCATCAGCTGCAGGCTGTGTGACCCTGGGCAGGTTGCTCCACCTCTCTGAGCTCTCCCAGTGACTCCGCTGCAAGAGGGGGAGGTGGAATCTGAGTTGGGCTCCATTGCAAAGCTGCTGCCCCCTCGCGCGCCCGCAATGCACTATCGGAGCAGCTTTACCTGGTGGCCAAGCAGGCTGACCTCCCCGCCCGAATCCAAAGGCCTCTGACCAGTCCTTTCTCTCCATAAACAGCGCCTCCCTGCTTCACCCTAAGAAGCAACCCCCCAGGAATCTCAGGCCTCCAGGGGCAAGGTACTCCAGTCCCCTCTCCTGCCCCCCGACCCCGCGTTTTTTTAAAAATCATTTTTTATTTTTCAATTACAGTTGGCATGCACTGTTACATTAGTTTCCAGTGTGCACCCCTGGGGTTAGACGTTATAAAACTGATCATCCCCCCCAAAAAAATCTCATACCCCTCATACCACACACAGGTATCCTATGGGATAAAAAGCTAATATGTAAATTGTCCCCTCCACCAGGAGTTTGACCAGGATTTCGACCAGGGGGTGGGGCCCGCCACCAACCACCCTTGTCCCCTCCTCTTGGCCGGCCCCTCCACTCCCGACCCCCAGAAGCCCCTCCCCCAGCTAGGGCAGGCCAGCCAGACCCCACCCATGCACACATTCATGCACCAGGCCTCTAGTTAGAATATTAGTGGCGCCAGCGAGAGCTTTATATGTATCGAGCATGCATGAATCAAGTTTTAGTTTTAAATTGCCAGAATGCATCATATGTTCAGCGGGTCGGTTGGTCGGATGGTTGGGCAGACAGACGGATGGTCACTTAGCCTTTTATATATATAGATAGACTAGAGGCCTGGTGCACGAATTCGTGCACCAGTGAGTGGGGTCCTTTGGACTAGCCTGTAGGATCGGGCTGAAATTGGTTTTCTCACATCCCCCGAGGAGTCCCGGATTGCAAGAGGGCACAGGCCAGGCCGAGGGACCCCACCGGTGCATGAAAAGGTCCGAGAGGGACTAAGGAGGTTGGCCAGCTGGAGAGGTACTGCGGGAGGGCTCCAGGGCGTGTCCGGCCTGTCTCAGTCCCAATCGGCCAGCGGATTGCAAGAGGGCACAGGCCAGGCCGGTGCATGTCATAGCGACTGGTCGACAGGTCGACTGTCTGCCCCCTGGTGGTCAGTGCATGTCATAGCGAGCGGTTGAGCGGCCTTTGCATATCATTAGCATATTACACTTAGATTGGTTGAACGGCTGACCGGTCGACCGGACGCTTAGCATATTAGGCTTTTATTATATAGGATTCCTTATGCTGTACACACCCCCGAACTGGGGATCGAGCCCACAACCTGGTGTGTGCCCTGGCCAGGAATCGAACCTGTGACCTCCTGGTTCATACGTCAGCTCTCGACTACTGAGCCACGCCAGCCGGCCGGGCTGAGAGTCCCAACTCATTTAAACTCTGTTCTTGTTTTCCCCGCCCACCCCATCTATTCTCATGCGATCGATTAAACACTCGCTAAGATGAGCAAGAATATTGGATCCACCCACATCTGTCTTGGTGATGTTAGCACCGACAGTAACACTCGTAGCACAGAATCCAATCAATAAACATTGGATTTTGGACGTTGGGTTTGAGTAAGTGGCTCTTGCGATGCGAGTCTATAAGTATTTAATCGCCCTAGCAGGAGTTTTGTGTGTGTGTGTGTTTTTCAGGAATTTATTGGCACGTGTTGGCTTCTCTGTCCTCTTTCGTTGTGGAGCGGCTTGTCTATTTAGTCGGCTTGGGCTGTGTCACTCCTGAGGCGCCAAGCCACGTATAACTGCTCTGGGTGTGGGCGCTGAGCTAACGCGTGGGGAGCCCTTAGCCCTGGGTCGCACCTGGCATGCAAACAGAGAGGTCCGGGGTGAGGGAGGCTTGCCACGAAAACCTGCTCTGCACCCCAACCTCAGCCAGCTGCTCATGTGGGGTAGGACGAGGATTGCATGGGGAAGGGGATGCCGAATGGGAGTTTTACAGGGCATGTGAGCTGGGGGGTTTGCAGAGGCCCTCAGGTATGCAAAGGGCTGGGGCTGAAACCGGCTCTCCGACATCCCCCGAAGGGCCCCGGATTGCGAGAGGGCGCAGGCCAGGCCGAGGGACCCCCACCAATGCACGCTCGGGGTCAGGGAAGGGACGCCGGATGTTGGCCAACTGGAGAGGGACCATAGGAGGGCTCCAGGGCGTGTCCGGCCTGTCTCGCTCAGACCCGATCGCCTGGACCCCAGCACCAAGCTCCCCT